TACAAATGAGGCAACTGATGTCCAGAGAGGTTAAGTAACTATGCAGAGACACACAGCCAACAAGATTCAAGGTAATCAAGTAAGTAGCCTAGCTAGGATTTGGCCCTTTCCACATTCATTATTCCAGTTTTTCTTGAAAAGTCCATGTCCCCCTGGTGGGTTCTCCACAGCTCTAGGAAGGCAGCAGGGAAGAGTGGGCTCTCCCAGGGCCAGGACAAGCTGTGCGCTGGACCCTGGGATGGATCAGCACAGGCCTGCCCTCAAGTTGCTCTAGGTAGGATGGGCTGGGCTCTTTGCAAACTCTCAGCCACCTGAGGGGCCAGCAGGAGGAACACACAGACTCTGGGGTCAGAGCAGGCTGGGCTCCTGTTCGGGTCCTGCCCTCTTGGCTCCGTAGATTTGGGCAAGTTGCTGTACCTCTCTGAGCCTCGCAGCATGTCATATAGGAGGGAGATGATAATGGCCCCTACCTCTGCTGGAGGGGATGAAGATTTTAAAAGGCAACAAATACAAGCAACTCCTTAACAACCCTTCACTCCTTTTCTCACTCATAGGGTTTTTATGAGGATTAAATAAATCAGAACCTAACATGTTCATTCATACTGCTCTCTGCCTATGTGACCGGGGCCTTGCTACCTACACTCTCTGGGCTTTGGTTTCCCCATCTATAAAATGGGCATATTAATAATACTACCTCCTAGGGTTGTTGTTAGCTTAATACATCTAAAGGACTCAAAACAGCATCCAACGCTCAATAAATGTTAGCTATTACTGCATCGTAATTATCATTGTAACTGCACAGTAAGTGCAAGTTATTGGGATCATAAATTGATTTCAATTCACCCCCTGCCTCAGGCTTCCATCCCATGGTCATCATGACCATGTGTCTCAGAGCATCTAAGCTCTGTCCTTGTGTTATGAGAAAGCTGAGTCCAGGACACCCATGACCCCAGCCTGTGGCAGAGATGCCTCCACTGGATTTCAGGAAAATGCCAGTGCTTGGCGTTTTCGGATGGCCACCATGGGACCCATCCATCGGAATGTTGTTGACGTGTCTCTGGGTAGACTCTAGAGGAAGATTCTGTCCATTCAGCCTTCCTGTGCACCAGTGATGAGCTCCCCTTTGGAACTGATGCCAGCACCAAGTATGTATCTGCAAGGGAACAGGACAAGGAAAGCCATGTGCCAGGGCTTCTTTCCCTTTTTGCCTTGGCTGCCAGGTAAACTGCGGCCAGATTTAGTACCACACAAACGTGATTTGCTCATTGAGGGCGGCCCTGCATGAACATAGGTATGGGAGCCAGAAAAACTCAAGACACCTGGCTCCTCTGTTCACCACTGTGCCACACTGGATGAGTGGCTTTGTGGCTCTCAGCCTGTTTCCTCTTCTGTAAAAAGAGAGAGAGAGCTAGAAGTCTCTGAGTTCTGCTTCCTCCTGGATGTGTGAACTTGGCAGTTCCCTCTTCGCCCTTCACTTCCGTTTCCTCTCCTGTCAAACAGGAATTATGTTAATGAGCACGCTACTAGGCTGTGAGGAGGATCGCTCAAAGGGCACAGCCTGGTGCCCACTTCATGATTGGCACTTTGTAACCAGGAACTGAAAATATATTGCTTTTGTGGGTGAAGACCGCTGGGTTTGGAAATCGAAGGTTTGATGGGCAGAGTTTGCTGAAAAGTAGAGGCCTCCCGTAGCAATTTTAAAACCAAGCTTTGTGGTTTGACTGTAGCCTGGATTCTCAGTTCCTGAGTTGCAAGGACGAGTCTGTGCAAAGACCCTTGGATTCCCAGAAGGAAGGGGTCTTCTACCCAGGAGTCTGCAGTGGCCATAACCCCCACCAGCTCAGTGCGTGCCCTTTTTACGAGGTGCAGTTGACGGCCTGCCATGCATGGGGCAGGATCTGCTAGGGCATGCCCAGAGGGAGCAATGCCAGGGAGCAGAGCCTGGGCCCTCCCTCTACCCACTGCCATGGGAGACTGTGCCAACACTGCACAGTCAAGAGAGGCAGCCCCACCCAGGGGCCCCTGCAACCCAAGCACGGGTCCTGGCGCCAAGGGAGGGTAGCATTGTCTCCACGGTTTTGGATGTGGCTAAGGGTGGGGGGCAGTGTGGAAGTCAAAGCCAGGAGAGGTTATGACTAGAGGCTGCTGTCCTGGCCCAAGGATGCCCCGCATCCTCTGCTTCTGTTTGCACACCTCCAGTGACTGGGATCTCCCTCTCTCCCAAAGCCACCTGCAACTGTCTTCCTTCTCAAGTGTGGTGCCCAGAACCAAAGCAACTTCTCCCAGAATGGTCTAATCATGCACTGGAGCGACAAGCTCCTCCTTTGCTCTACAGACTATACTTCTGTTAATGCATCCCTATTTTATTTGTTTCTCCCCACACATATCACTATTGATGACACCCAAGTCCAGGGCTGCTATCAACTAAAACTCATTCCTTCACAACTCTTTTTTACCCCTTCCTTCTTCCATCCCTTCCTCCCTCCCTTCTTCCATCCTTCTTTCCTTTCTTCTCCCGTTTTAGAGCAATGCCCCTCTGCAGTCAGTTTTTTCAAATGTGTATTGAGCATTTGGGCATGCTACTCCTACTCTGGGCACTGGGGATTCATAAGTGAATATGTCCTGGGTCCTACCCACAGGAGGCTTCCCATCTGCCAATGGAGAGGACAGAGGGGTAACAGCTAAAGCACCTGCCCTGAGGGTATAATTGACAGAAAAGACAAAGTGCAGAGGGACCTCAGAGGGGTGAGCAACTACCATATATGCCCAAATATTAGGTCACCCAAGTAAAGGTTAAGGGCAATCCCTATTCTCCCAACGAGAAGATGCACAGTAAAGTTGAATAATATAAACTTTAAGGTGTGGAGACGAAATAGTCAAACGGTTATTGTAATATTTATTTCTTTACTGAGAGAGATATATTTTAAATCACTTTTATATATTTAAATTTTTAATATTTCATTTATTTAATAAAATATTAATTTGGAAAGACTGCTTTCGTCCAATCTAAAATTTCAAGAAACTACTTGGTTCAAACTCTTTACACGTGCCTTTGACACTAGTGTCACCATCAGCTGGTGGGAGGGTGGGGGGAAAGAATTTTTGGTTTTCCAGAGCACATCTTAATCACAGGGACCAAGATGCTAAAACACAGCCCTTTTGGATCCAAGCGTCAGGTGACCACTGGACACTGTGTCCCCTCTGCAGGTACCATCTGCATTGCATTAGGACAATTGGGGCTTCATTTGCAGGTGGGCATTAGTGATCTGCACAACCCTGCCACTTATTTGGGTGCTCTGAAAGTGACCTTTAAAAGGCCTGTTTACGACAACCTCCCTTGCCGTCACCCTTTGTGACCCTACCTTTGTGACACTTGCAGTTACAAAATCCTATTTGCACTGCACTGCTTTATATGAGTAAAATTTCCTAGACTCCTTTTATAATAATACTGACCTCTATACGCATCCCAAACTCACATGGATTGAGGGTATATGGAAATACTGCACCTTTCCCAAACAGGACTTTGCGTTTAAAAAATAAGTGACTGAGAGAGTACCCGTAATATGAGAAATTGTGACTCAAACACAAGGCAACCTTATGTTCAGACGTATATGATAAATCAGGGTGTGGTGGGGAATAGAGAAGGCTTCCCAGAGGTGGAGGCTTTGAGCTGACCTTGAAGGACGAGAACCCTTTTGGGATGGGTCAGGCACTCGAGGCAGAAGGCACCAGAGAAACTGAGCTGCTGGGGGCTGGGGGTGGGCGGGGGCTTGTTCTCCCGGATACCCATCTTTCAATCACATATCTCCAGGCCAGCTTTGCCCCTTACTGGGAAATTTGGAGCACCTGTTTTCCACTCTCTGCGCCTCAATCTGTGAAGTGGGGGTAATAACACATTTCATAAGGTCATAAAGGTTACAAGAGCATGGAAAGTAAAGACGGAAAAAAAAAAACTGGTTTGGAATTGGGTCTTCTTGGGCAAATCATTTCACCTCCTAAGCCTCAGTGTTCTGATCTGAAAAATGGAGCCCAATGAAGGCAGAGGTTAGCAGGCTTCATGCCCCACTGAGTGTGGTCTGGGTTCCTGCACAGGAGAGGTACTGAGATCTGTGGGGTGAATGAATGAATAAGGAATGCCTGTTACTCCCTCTGCCAGAGACACTGTCTCCAGCTCTTCCCATGCCGATTCTTTGCTGTGCATCAGATGGAGCTGACACGTCCCCAGGTTCTCCCTGAGCCCCGCAGAGTTACCCCATCAGTCTTATCTTGTTTTATTTTCCTCCTGGCTTTGATCATTATATTATGTGATCTTAATTGCTTGCTATTTCTGTCTTCACCACCAGACTAGCATGGCTTGTCTGTATCTACAGTGCCCGGCACAGCCTGTGGCACATAGGATGTGCTCAATAAATATTTTAATGAATGAGCGAGTGAGTGAATTGATGAATATATGTTCCCTCCTCCCAACCTTTGGACACTGCCTAGGTTTCTCCTACTTGTAGGCACGAGATCCCACCCCAACCCATCACCCTGGCTGAACTGTTTTCAAGCCCTTTACACTGTCCGAGGTGACCTTGTGCTTGTGTTTCCGTCCCGGACCTCCTCATCCCCCACCCCTACCCCCGCACCTTCAACACCCCGCATAGAAGCTCCGCAGGGCGAGGGCTTGGCCCCCTGTGGCCCAGCGCCTGGCACACAGTAGGCCTTCTTAAAGTGTTGCGATTAATGACAGAAAGGTCAGCAGGCTAACGAGCCTGGCACCCTGAGGGCACCCAGCTGCCCGACGCGCCTTCCTGCCCCGGGCGCGGGAGCCGCGAGGGCGGGAGGCTCGGCCGTTCCCCTCCCGCCTCCCGGTGCAAACTTTCAAAAGATGCTGCGGCCGCGGCCCCGCCCCTCTCCGCGTGGTTGGAGGCGGCGGGAGGCGGGGGCGGAGCCGGCAGGCCCCGGCCGGTGGCTCCGCCTCCTCCTCCCGCCGCTGCTTCCCTCACCGCACCCTCCCCAGCTGCAGCCCGCCGGCTCGCCAGTGCAGCCGCGATGCCCCGGAGCCCGAGCCCGACCCCGGCCCGGGTTCCCGGCCCACCGCGTATTTAGCCTCCGTGCGTCCCGAGCGCGCCACCGCGAACGCCGCGCCCCGACGCAGCTATGGGCAACACTGTGCACAGGACCCTGCCAGGTACGCCGGGGAGCCCCTCCGGGAGGCGGGCGCTGAGGTTCTTCTCTCCTCGGGGGACCCTCTGGGTGACTTCCGGAGAGCCACCCCACCTACCCTTGGAGCCCTCGGCGGGCGCGGCGGGCTGGAATCTCTGGTGCTTCCCGACTCCCGGCTCAGCGCGCGCGGAGCGTCTGAGCTTTGCGCTCTGGGAGGGCGGGTACCGCGTCCTGGTTACCTTGGGGACCCCGGTGCTCTTTCTCCCGGCTTTGGCCAGATGCACGGCCCCAGAAGGGGCCGTTGGGACGATGCTGCGCGACCCCTTGGCTTTGTTCCAGCCCAAGGGCGCTGATGAAGGAGCCCGGGGCGCTCCAGGGGGGTGAATGGAACCAGGCTCCGCAGGGCTTCCGACGGCCAAAAGCCTCCCGTTGTGCCGAGACTGCAGCGGCTGAGAGTTAGGGGTGGGGGGGGGGCGTGCTCACAGGGGTACCTAAGTTACCAGCCGCTCAGCGCCCCCGCGGTACATGCTGCCTTGGTTTGGCCACGTTCCCACGCGCACCCTGGCTGCGCCCCCCTCTGGTGTCTGCTCAGCTGGGAGCTCTCTAGCCCCTTGCAGTCGCCGCTGTCGAGCGCATCGCCCCCTAGTTAACACCGCCCCAGAATTTCCGGAGCCAGAGTAAGGGGATCCAGAGCTGGAAGGAGGTGGGGGTGTGAAGACAGAGGAGGCCTTGCTAGAAAATACCTGATAATTGTGGGAATAGATCAGCGCTGCTCAAAGGCTTGGAGGCTCAGTGTCTGGCACTTTGCCTACCCCAGCGCGATATGCAAAGAAGCTTCACGGTAAAGGTGTGTATTCCAATTTTATAATGAAGAAATTGAGTTTCAGTGGAGGCGAAATGACACACCCAAGGCCATGTTGCTAGTGGGGAGGGGGTCTGGATTGGGACCTATGTCTCTCTGCCCACCCTCCTCCCTGCCAAGTCTTTAGAATAAATCTTTATTTTGCCTTAAGGCTGGGCATTTGTAGCAGCCTTTAGGCAGAAGGTGAGAGACACATATGTGAGGTTTTAGGAGGAGAGGGAGGTATCACCTCCTCTGTGCTCTAACAGTCCCATATAGCTCTCTCCTTCATAATTATATATCAAAAAATAATTATTTCTTCCCCTGGAAGGGATTGAAATGGATGATGCTGAGCCCCACATTCCCAAGGCCCACTTATAGGAGAGGAGCCCCTCCTTCTACTTTATAAGCCCCTGGGCAGCTTTCAGGCCACTGCACACAGAATTTACCAAATCCTCTGAGAGGTGAAGTCACCAGCAGAGCGTCACCAGTTAATCAGTGGCAGAGGTGGGATTCGAATCCAGGTCCTCTTACCTGAGAGTGGCCACGCCTCCTATGGCCAAGGCTATTGACGGCATGGGGATGGGGATGGCATGGGGAGAACCCACCACCCAGTCTGGAGGTGTCTAGGGCTATTGGCAAATAGAGCAGCAGATGTCCTCCCAGCCACAAAGACATGAGCCCCTTTGTGGGATTTCTTAATTAAGAAATGTTTATGCTGTTCTAGTAGAAAAGCCATTCTGCCACCTGTGGGTCAGCCTTGGGGTAGATGAAGGGACAGAGGCACGCTAGGCGGGCTAAATATAGCTGGATATTTATGTAGTCTCCATCCCACTCGGCCCTCTCTCTGTGGACAGGGCCACCCCGCGCTGGGAGCCTGAGGTTAAGGTCAGTTACTCATGGCAGTAGCTAATCGTGGAAAATTCAAGCTCCACTGGTGCTGAAGCTTGCATTGAGTTTGAGGAAGGAGATGGAACTGGCATTCCTGTGCCACATCAGGCTGTAGGCGCCAAAAACCTGAAGAAACATTTATTGTTTTCTGACCTGCCCGTAATTAGTTTCTCACACACATTGTGCTGTTTTTTGCACCTCTGTGCTCAGTACGTGATGCTCCCCACACCTGGAATATCCTTTCAGTGTCTAGTCCATCTTTCAAAACCCAGCTCAGTTGTCACCTCCTCCAGGAAGCTTTCCCTGACCACCCACACCTTTGCTCTGCCACCTAAATACCTTCTTGTCTCTGCTTGTTCATCAGACCACTTTGCATTGTCATCACCCGTCTCTACTACTCGCCTTGGGGCTGCCTGAGGACAGAGCCCACGTCTTGATCATCCTGTATCCCTGATTGCCCAGCCAGAGCCTGGTGACTGGCGGGAGCCCAAAAATTGGCGGTGGAGCTCACATGTTGCCTGCATCTTAGGCTGAAAGAACACTTGGCTCAGTGTTGCCCTGTAGAAATCCTTGTGCTTTCATTCTCAGGAAAAGGACACATGCGTGGGGTTCCTTCTACGGGACTTGAAATAGAGAGCTGGCATTTGCCGAGCACCTGGATTCCATGCCAGGCTTCCTGCATATGTGGCTTCATTTATATGCCAAGCATGCTTCTCCTTAAGGCTTCCGCACTTGCCGATCCCTCTGCCTGGAACATCCTTACCCCAGATCTCCACATGGTTTCCCCCTGCTTCTTTCAGGTCTCTGCTCCACGCGACTCCTGCCATTGCCCCTGCCCCCATCGTCTCCCACTCCCTCTCCCCTGCTTTGTGTTTTTTTCTTAGCATGGCTCACCATGTGCCATGCTGTACATGTAGTTAGCTGTTTATCGTCTGTCTCCCCAGGGAGGATCTTGCCTGTTTTATTCACTGTGGTATATTCAGCATGTGGAGCAGTGGCTGGGACATAGGAGATGTTCAGTAAATATTTGCTGAACGAATGAATTTAGTTCTTGCAACGGCTCTGCAAGGTAGGGATTATCATCTCCATTTTACAGATAAGGAAACCAAGTCTCAGAGAGGTAAAATGACTCATCCCATTTCACATGGGTCACCCAGTTGGCAGAACCAGGATTGAATCCAGGTTTATTTAGTTCCAAAGTCCTGCGGTCTTCCCCTGGCATCCATGGTTCAGATGCCATTTATTGGGTGCCCCAGAGTACACCTGGCATGCTATTGTACACAGTAAGGAAATGCCCCCAGAAAAGAATGCCTTTTATGATCGGTTGAGGGAAAGCCCCTTGGTGGCCCTCACAAAGGGCATCAGCAATTCAGATCAATGGCCTATAAACAAGTGTGCAGGGTTCAGCATGGGAATTTGCATTTGCTATGCTCTTACTGTGTGCATTACCCATTCCCTTTCTAGTTGCAGTTCAGACCTGCAAAATAAGGGGCCGTTCTCCTCCATTTTACAGATGAGGAGACTGAGGCACAGAGAGGTTGAGACACCTGCCCCAACTCACACAGTAAGGCAGTGGTAAAGCTGGGCTTAGCAGACCCAGGTCCGTCTTGTTTGTAATGTACTACATGGTCCTTTTTTCTGCACTCCTTTAGCCTTAATCTGGGTTTTGCAAAGCAAAGAAAGAAAAGTGTAAACATGCGTGGGGTGGGGGGGAGAGGAGGGCACAATTCCAGCAGGGAGGGGGATGGGAGGAGGAACTCTCCCCCTTCTCCCACCAGCACGTTTCAATCCCTTCCCTCCACACGCCTCTGGGGCTCACCCGTAGTTCTGGTTGGAGAAGAGGCTGAATTCAAACTGTCAGTTGGGTTTAATCATTAAGTCAGTCCATGCTTGACCAAGTCAACGGCCCTTTCTAGTGTTAGTTCAGTGAGTGGTATCCTGGAGCTCTGGAGTGAGGGAAGCGTGTTGACCCTGCTCTGTGCCAAGCCCTGAGTCAAGGGCTTTACCCACATTACCTATTTCAGATCCTCGTAACAACGCTTTAGAGGGGCTATATTTATCCCCATCTTACAGGGAGGCAGATGGAGGCTTGGAGAGATAAAGGATAAAGGCTCACCGGTATAAGGGGGAGAACCAATCTTCCTAACCTAGATGGTCAGTCTGCAAATGCTACGTCCAGACCGGAAGCATCTGCTCCTACTGAGCCACTCAGGTGCCTTCCCTGTAGAGCCTCTTTCTTTATTTGACCTGAATACGGAACCGTGTGGCTACTGGGCCTACATGGGTCAGATCTGCTGCCCTCTGGCAGTGGGCGGTAATGCTCCGAGGGCACGGCAGCCACTCTTTTCCCTGGATCTGGACTGTCTCAGCTCTAGGGAGGACAGCAGCCTTTGTCACTCTCACAGCCATCACGGTGGCTGCACGGATGACCCAAGCAGTGACATTCCCCTCTCTCTGCACGGCTCTTCCTCCTTTACCCAGTCACAATGTAAAGTTAGTTTGGGCTTGCCCGTCTTATCTGGCCCCATCTGCCTCTCTCCCACTGGGTCATGAAGAATCACTTTTATAGCCTCCCAGTTGAGCCAGAGGCCTGAGCCTGAGCCTCTCAAAGTGATAGTGGTTCGTCCAACAGCCCTGAAACCTACCAGGCTGTCAACACATGGTCAGGGGCCCTGACTAGTCAAGGTTCCTTGGTGAGGGCCTGCGAGGATGCTGGGGGCTGGCGTGGGCGTTGGGGGAAAGGATGGAGCAGTCTTATCCATCAGTGGAAGTGAGGAAGAGGAATGGGTCTGTCCAATGTATAGGAAACATGGAGAAGTTGCCTGTGGAGAACCTGGAGCCAGAAGGAACTGGGGCCTCGCTCTGTTTTTACCCTCTTATCCCACCTCTTCTCCCTTCCCTCTCTCTCTCCCCAGGCAGGAAAGGGGGGTAGGGAAGGCTTCCTGGGGAAGGCGACATCTGAAGGAAAGTCCAACTGAATGTCTGCCTCCCCCATTCGAATGTCATCTTTTTCTGCCTGCTTTTAGGGTCTTCTGTAGCTCAGTTGCACCAAAGCCATCCTGATCTCCGCTTAAGTGCTGTGCGCCCAGGCTGGGTGACCCTGGGGCGTGCCCTGCTCTGCATTTTCCTGACTGTGCACCTTCGTTCACTTACCTGACATCTGTTGGGCATGTGTCGTGTGCCAGCCCTGGGGTTCCGCCCTGAATGGGATGGACAGCCACAGGCGGGCCCCGTGGAGCTGGCCACTGGTGGGAGAGGGATAGAATGCTCTAGTAGAGCAGGTCACGTGACTG